AAACATCCTACTGGTTTCTTTCCTGGTGAAGGATCAATAAGTTCCCAAGTGTTATTTTTCTGTAAGGATTTCATCTCCTCTTCCATAGCTGCTTTCCACCTAGGGTTAGCTAAGTCTTCCTGCACACTGTTAGGAATAGATATAATAGATAATTGATTTACAAATGACAAATTTGATTCTAACAAATGATGGTTCGACACATAATGACTCATAGGATACTTAACTTTACTAGACAGTTCGGGTTCACATGTGAGTTTAGGAATACCTCTAGTGTGACGCTGTGGCAATTGTTTCCTGAGTGGCTCAGGCAGAAAACCAGGAACATCCTCAGCAGGCGATTGGTTTGATATATCAGTTGCGAGGGACTCAAACTCGGACTACAGTGGAGTTGGTGCCATTTATGGGCGTTCATCACCACTTTGATCCAAACTTATACCACTCGAATCCAATTCGCCCAATTCCTGATTGGTTGGTTCAACTTGTGAGTCATCACCATTAGAATTGCCGTCCTCAAAAGTGTGATAATCATAATCGAGAGTCTGAACTTCTTTCTGGTACTCCCCCTGAAGTTCCGACGAAGAGGAAAAATATATTGAGTCTTCATGGAAGACAAAATCCATGGTGAGAAACATTCATCGAGTTGGAGGGTGATAATAGCGATACCCCTTTTTATGAAGAGCATATCCGAGAAAAACACATCGCAATGCTCGAGGAGTTAGCTTGTTGCTCTGATGCTTATGGAGGTGTACAAAGGCTACACAACCAAAGACATGAGGAGGTAGATTTGGGACGATTGGGGCAACGACTGTGTTAGTGAGAGCCTGCAATGATGTCTGGAAGTCAATAGAGCTGGAAGGTACTCGATTGATTAGATATGCGGCAGATATAAGTGCTTCTCCCCAATACGATAACGGCATATGAGCTTCTATCAATGAAACACGAACAACCTCCAATAAGTGACGATTTTTTCACTCTGCAACCCCATTCTGCTGGGGTGTGTTGGTACAAGTGGTTTGATGAATAGTTTCATGGGCTCCCAAATAGTGTTGAAGATCCAAACTCTGATATTCTCTACCATTATCACTACTGAGAACCTGAATATGTTCAGTGTAGTGAGTTGCAACCAGTTTATGAAACTTTTGAAACAATAAGTTTACTTCACTTTTAGATTTCATCAAGCACAGCCAGGTCATCCTGGTACAGTCATCAATAAAAGTAACAAACCAACGTGATCCACCTAAAGTAGTGACTTTGGGCGAACCCCAAACATCAGAATGTATAACCATAAAAGGAAGTGGACTTTTATTTAAACATAATGGAAACGAAGCACGATGGCTCTCTGCTAGTTCACAAATATCACAGCAGAAACTAGAACCATCAAATTTTTTAAATAAACTAGGAAATAATTTTTACAGATAACCAAATGAAGCATGCCCCAGACGTCCATGCCACAACCAGATTTCAGATTTCGTTTTCTCCCCCTCAGAAACATCCACTGTCAATGCTTGTCGTAGCTTGGCAGAACTTTTTGACATCAAGTCCAAGTAATATAACTTCCCTCATCTAATACCACAACCAATCGTCTGCTTTGTTTGGATGTCCTTAAACACACAAAAATCAGGCAAAAAAATTACAACACAAGATAAAGCTGTGGTTATTTGAGAAACTGACAAAATATTATAATCTAAGGATGGAACAACTAAAACCAAATCGAAATGCAGATTATCAGTGAGTGTCAAAGATCCTTCCCCAATAACTGGGGTCGAAGTACCATTGGTAGTACAAACAAATTGTTGGGAGGAGGAAGTAAGAGGTGAGACCTATCTAGAATCAAACCTCATATGATCTGTAACACCAGAATCAATTATCTATACACTATTAACAACAGGTGTAGAAATATTTAAAAACTTACCACCATTATCTCCAGTTACTACCAACCCCAAGGCCTTTTCAGCACCATCATCCTCGGTCTTAACAACTGCTGCAGTGGAGGTCTTCGACGAATTCTTCTTCCAATGACTATCATCCCACCATTCCGGATATCCCATAAGTTCAAAACAGTGACTTTTGGTATTACCAGTCTTATTGCAATGAGTGCATTTATAGGTAGACTTGTCTGCACCGTTGGTGACTTTAGATTGATTTGGTTTAGTACGGTCTTGACAGTTTTGCTTTGATCTATTGCGAGCCATCATGACTGAAGCATCAGAGTTTTCGGACTCCCCTGTCAGAGTTGCACGACGTACTGCTTCTCGTCGAACCAAAGAGTAGTAGCCTTCCAAGTCTGGAACTGAATCATTGCGTAGAATTTCTCCACGAACTTGTTCAAAACCACCATCCAATCCGGCAAGAAAGATGTGAACCTTAGTCACTCAATAGACTTTCGATATGCTTCAATGTTATCCGGATCTTTCATGACCATTTTATCTCGATGGTCCATTTCGCGGAAAACTTCAGTTAGCGCTCCATAATATTTAGATAGAGATTTTCCATTTTTTTTAGCGGTGAAGGCCTTTTGGTTCAAGGCGAAAACTTGCAACTCATCATTCCCATCATAAAAAGCCTTTGATAAAGCACTCCAGATTTCATAGGCAGTGGGTAAGCATAAATAACGCTTCATAATTTCTGGAGTCATGGACATTAATAGCCACCGCTTCACTTTCTGATTTTCAGCATACCATTTATCATAACCGTCTTCTGATTTAGCAGGTGGCTTAGTCTTGCCACGAATATAGGAGAGTTTCTCCCTTTCAGCAATATGCATCTCCATCAGTTGGGACCAAATGTCATAATTGGATTTAGTAGGACTAATCCCTGCATTAAAAACACTTTCAGATTGAACAAAAATAGGAACTGATTTCATCCCAGAGGATTCAATATTTTTTTCACTCATTTTTTCCTCTTTTTTGTTTTCCTTTATATATATATATATATATATATATATATATATATATATATATATATTACAATAAAAAAAAAGTAAAACAAATGGAGATGCAAACAGAAGATGGAGATCCAGCAAAACTGGATGAGTAGCCGGTGATTTGATGATGGAGACAGAAGATGGAGATCCGGCAAAGAGAAGATGGAGATTCGGCAAAACTGGATAAACAGCTAACAATCTGATGATGGAGATAGCAGCTGTAGGTTCTCCTCCTTGTGCGACGACGACGATGGATCCAGCGGCAATGATTGAGATCGCGACTGGTTCTGTTCGGCTGAGATGGATCCGACGACACTGTGGACAGCAGTTCGATCGTCAAAGGCTGCAGATCCGGCGACAGCTATTCAGGTCCAGCAACGGCGATACAGATCTGTCGAGGTGCAGCGGTTTGGTTACAGCTGTGAATTGTGATGGCTGAGACTTGTGATGGCAGTGGCTGTGGCTTTGTCGTCGTCATTTCAGATACCGATCCGACGAGGTCTTCAGAGGTTTGGTAGCGACTTGTGGTGGGTTAATCAAGGGTGACTGTGAATTGATGTGTATGGGTATGGTTATGTTGTATGGGTATGAGATGCCTGTTGATGTATTTGCTGTGTATAGGTATGGTATTTCAAGGCTAAATTCAAAGAGATCAAAAAAATTCAAAGAGATCAAAAAATACGATTCAATGATGGCTCTGATACCATCTTGAAATTCAAAGAAAGAATATGAGGATTAAAAACTCAATTCAATAATATTCACGATGGTATTGCATCCAATTTATAGAGTAATACCTAGCTAAAATAGGTAACTAAATATAAAATACTTGGGAAACAAATTACCTACTAATTAGCCCTAAATCACAGAGTAAATAATTCAATCCTATAGCTGTAGGATCTGTATAATCTCGGATTATAATAGGTAAAATCTCAACAATAATGAATTTAACTGTTATGACATAATTTAAGAAGAGATCTTAGAGCTTAGTATAATCGAGACGAGTGGAGCTGAAGTAAAAATAAAGATTCAAATATTGATTCATGGTAAGTGTTCAACTAATTTTGCAAAATCTGATAAACTTCAAATGAGAGCATGAAAAATCTGTCTTCGTTGTGCAGAAGTTCTCTGTTCGAAAGAGGATTAATATATATTACTCGAGTGCAAAAAGAATAAAGAAGGGATGAAAAACTATACTAAGATTTTTTGATTAATTGTGAAAAATTGTTTCAAACTCCTAGACGAGTTCTTTCTCACCCAGGAGGATGATGCATTGTCAATATGGTAGCCATATCAACGCCATGTGGGTGCTTAGATGGGTAATTAGAATATCAAAAACTGTCATGAGAATGTTAGCCTTTTTGGCTAGTGATGAACCAACACGTAACAATAGGAACAAGAAGGAAAATATACGTGAAAGGAAACAATCACGTAAATTATATATATATATATATATATATATATATATATATATATATATATATATATATTATACCAATATGATTACAATCACTTTCTTTAAATAAGCAGTAAGTCCGCGTAACGTGATCTGAATGATAACAATCATCATTCAAACTCTAACAACCTAAACCTATCAATCATTTTATTTTAATTTCAAAACTCTAACTATCAAGATAACGTTGACGATATCAATGAAGTTAAATTTGAATTAACTTCCAACACTCCCCCTTAATTCAAATTTTCAAACATCTTTAAAAAATTTAAGGTAAGTCTTCAAATTTCTACCATGATCACTGCTACGGTTTCTTTTGAATCTTCTACCAACATTGTTGCTTCTTCTATTCTTTGTTTTGTTTGAAATTTCAGTCTTTTCAGGCTTGTCTTCCACTGGTTTCTTCTTTGTCTTTTGAATTTTCAATGTTTTTTCTAGAGTTGTTTTTGCTGTGCATGCAACCACTTCTCTCTTCTTCTCATCATCCTTGAGCTTTGAAAAATCAAGAGGATAAATATTGTTATCAGACATTTTTGAAAACAATATTAATTTTTTATCTCCTTTGTTGTACAACATGCATCTGTTATCTTCAAACACAACTGAACAACCTTTCTTGAGTAGCTGTCCTCAACTGATCAAATTTTGAGCCACACCTAGAACATACAAAACCTCATCAATCAATTTTTTACCAAAATTTGTATTTACTGCAATGGTTCCTTTGCCTTGAACTTGCACGCTTTTGTCGTTCCCCATACGCACCTGAGACTTTACAGATTCATCAAGTTTAATAAAAATAGATTTATCTCCGATCATATGGTTATTACAAGCACTGTCAAGATACCACATATTTTTTGTAGTGGCATTAAGGCAAGATATGAATAGATGTTTATCATTCACATATTCATCTTCAACTTTTTCTTCATAAACTATTTCCTCATGAAAGTTAGCTTGATTTTTAGGATTATACCAACAGTCTTTTTCATTATGTCCATATTTTTTACAAAAAGAACACTGAGGGATATCAGGATTCTTATTTTTGTACCAACAATCCTGTTCAATATGACCTTTCTTCCTACAATGAAAACAAATAGGAATTTCACCATTACCTTTATTGAATTGTCTCCCTTTTCCATTGAATTAATTCCCTCTTTTACCTTGAAATCCATAGTTTTTCCCTTTTCCATTTGAGCCTCTTTTAAACTCCAATTTTGTATATAAAGCCTGCTCCACTTGACTTTCTGTAGACCAGTTTAATCTTTTTCATGCATTTTTAGTGATCCCATCAATTGAGTAAAAGACAACTTAGATAAATCTTTTGACACCTCAATTGCAGCTACGACACTATTGAATTTAGGAGTTAGAGTTCTCAAAACTTTTTCAATGATTTTTTTATCATTCAAATTTTCACCAAGAGATTTTGCTTGATTAACAATAAAAGTAACTCTAATTAGGTAAGCATGAATTGACTCAGAACTTTTCATCATCAATGTTTCAAACTCACGACGGAGAGTCTGTAATCTTAAAGTAATTACCTGACTCGATCCTTCGTACTCATTCTGAAGCAACTCCCATGCTTCCTTGGATGTTTTGGCCCCCATTATTCTTGGAAAAATAATGTCGTCTAACCCTTGTTGGACATAGGACAATGCCTTGGCATCTTTCTTCTTGTTTTCTTTCAATGTTGTTCTTTGTGCAGCAGTAACTCTTTCTTCTTGATTATCATTTTTTGTATAACCACTCTTAACCAGTTCCCGCAAATCAAGAGAAATAAAAATTGTTTTCATTTTAATACTCCAAAACTGGTAATTTTCACCTTTGAAAGTAGGAACAAATGGATGAGAGTTGTTATTACCTGTTGCGGCCATCATTTTTTTTTTTTTTACCTCAACCTTTTTTCACGCTTTTGTGTAATCCTGGCTGATCGTCAACTGCTCTGATACCACTGTTAGTCTTTTTGGCTAGTGATGAACCAACACGTAACAACAGGAACAAGAAGCAAAATATTCGTGAAAGGAAACAATCACGTAAATTATATTAATTTTTTTTTTTTTTTTTTATACCAATATGATTATAATCACTTTCTTTAAATAGGCAGTAAGTACGCGTAACGTGATCTAAATGATAACAATCATCATTCAAACTCTAACAACCTAAACATATCAATCATTTTATTTTAATATCAAAACTTTAACTGTCAAGATAACATTGACGATATCAGTGAAGTTAAATTTGAATTAACTTCCAACAGAGAATTGGTTTCCAATTCTAGATTTGTGTTCCCAACTATTTATATTTATTTTGCATTTTGTGCCCAGTAATTTGCAGTTCATTTAAAATTGTAGTATTTTGTGTTAAAAGTTGGGAGTTGTAACATCTTTAATGTGGATTTATAATTTTTGAACTTGAATTATATTTCGATAATGATCAGAGACAGATCTATTCAATTGCCCCCACTATTTTTTTTTTTTTTTTTTCCTTCTTACTATATACCATTGATTTTCCATTTTTTTACAATATATACCCCTAAAATTTTAGAATTGCCCCCACTGAAATTACAGAAAAATCATACTATTGCCCCCACAACATTTTTTATATGGTTGTTAAAGACCACCCCTACTAACATAGTTTTCTGGGTCCGTCCTTGATAATGATGTTACAAAGCTTACATCTTTATATATCCAACTCCTTCTCTTGGTTGTGACTTCTTGTTCTATATTTTCCTTCTTCCCTCTCTTCCACCAGCGTCAATCTTCCTATTTTTAGAGTAGTTTTTAAGCTTTATGAGGAGGAAGAAGCCACTTCGAACCCTCTATAGAGGCAAGGCTGATATAGGGTTTAACGTCTGCATCACTTAGTTGTTTCGAGAATTTAACTCTGCCACCCGGATTAGACCCTGGACCTGTGTTTTTGTATTCTAGGAAAGTAACCGTCCTGCAATTAAATCCATCATTACCTTTTCATTAGTACCAGTACAAATACGCATGTAAATTATATACAGGAACTTAGTTTTCCATTGTACAATGCTTCATGTGATACAATTATAGACATCCCATATCAATCCTCTCCACTAACAATATAGCTAGAAATAATTGGTCCCAAAATTATAAAACTGATAATTGATAAAGAAATTACATATGTATATTAATAATTAATGTATATATAGACTCACCTTTCATCTTTGTTATTCCATCCTCCAGGCTTGATCACATCGCTCATTTCAGTGTAGACAAAAGCCACCTTGGCAAAAGGCTTCCATGCTCTGCCTAAGTCAGCGATTCTTCCTGCGCCAGTAACTCTGCAATGAACGAATAAAAAGCCAGTATCTTCCGTAGCGGTCTGTCTTCCTTGTGCCGTGATAAATGCCTGAGGGAAGGGTATCACATGTATTTGTGTGTTCTGCATCAAAACATCCATTATGTATATTGTTAATCTATTAAGAGAAAATCAATGCATGTGCATATCTTTAATTATAGGAAAAATAATTTAAATTTAGTTATCAAACTTTAAAACAAGTGTTGGTCATGGCGTTGCATTGATTTAAATAAAAATTCGTGGTCACTTTTATTAATTTATTTTATTTTTGAAAATTCAACTGAATTATCATTATTATTATTTATTATTAATTCTTCACTCTTAGAGATTAATCCTTGATACCAACCACATATAGAGATTTTCCATTGCCAAAGATGAAATCACCCATGCCTTCAATGTAGCAGTTCTTAAAGAAATGCCTGCCTTTGTCATCACAAAGGGTGTCTTGAAATCCAAGGAATCGGCAGTTATAGAATGAAGCCTTGTCGCCGGAGATTCTCAATGCCAAGGCTTGTGCTTGCTGTCCGGGAGCGGGCCTTGGTCCCGAATTCTAAAACATCAACACACATGCATGTACATTAATGAAGAAAAAAAGAAGAAGAAGACAACAGTCCGTGTATGTGTGTGAATATATATATATATATACGGACCTTAAAATTTATATCGATAGCACGGAAGTAATCAGACTCAATTATCACACTAGCACTCATCATAGTTCCTTTCGCTTTTCCTGTATCGCCAAAAACCAAAGTTGGCAAATTCTTTGGATCACTAGCTAACAAAGTGACAAACGGCTTCTTTTTATCAATGATGACTTTCTCATTATAGATTCCGGGCGCAATTGAGATGATCACTCGTTGAGTATTTCCATCTGGGATTCTCTTAATTGCATCCATCACGGACTTGAATTCGCCATCTTTACCCACCTTCATCAATTTGGGATTGTTCTCGGCATTCGCAAGGGCAGGGTCCAAACTGGCCCTCCGCTCCTTGTACGGTTTGACATTGGTCTGAAACCAACTCTCCACTTGAGCCCTCTCTGCCGGTATGGGTGGACTGTTGTCCGGGACGGGGGCGGGGCCACGGACACGGACGGGGCCGGGTTTGGCAGTGGTCGAGAAAATGCTAAGAAAAACTGTAAGGACGACGATGAGTGTCTTTTTTGCAGCCATGTTATATGTGTTGGTGTTATTTTTTTTTGTGTTCTTAATACTTTATTCTGTGTGTATATATATATATGTAAGGCTACACAGCTCTGGAGAGAGAAAGAATTGAAGTATGTGATGAAGAGGATTTGTCGCATATGACAGTCCTTCAAAGTTCCATTCGTGAATTAATGCATGATCACAAGGATTATTTTGGGCCACCTCCAGTGATATTTCGTTGTAGTATTTGCACATTTCGTCAAAAGTCGTCTTTTTGCATTTACTATTGATGGAATTTACCAATTGACCATGGAAAGGGATTGACACCAAACACCCCAGTTAAATATATATTCACTTCCCGTTAAATATTTGGAATTGCATATAGAAAATAGAAATATATATTCACTTGCCGGAAAAAAAAATCAAAAAGAAGAAAAATCTTGTTGTAATAGATGTGGCTCTGTGGGGTCCTCCTAATAAAGGCTTTGTTTGAATTATACGAGTCTGTGTATGTCAAAAAGAGAATAAGCATGACTTGTGTGTGTATTGGTGTGGGTTGTGAACAGAAAAAATAAAAGTGAAAGGGTTGTGTAGGTGAAAAGACGCTTACAAATATGCATGTGTTGTGATGAGAAGGGCATTGAGAAAAGAAGTGAATTCCAGTAAAAGCAGAGCAATTTTCTGGATTTCATATCTCTCTTGTATTCTTTATGTATTTTTCTCTATATTCATAACATATCTCCTTTGGTACCTCTTCTTTAAAATTATCATAATTTTTTACTTTTACAAAAAGGTAAAAGAATCCTATAAATTTGAATAGAGCCAAATAACTTTTTCTCTTTTTTTTTTTTTTTTTTTTTTTTTTTTTTTTTTTTTTTCATGATTAATAATGGCAGGCCCATTTTATTATTTTTAATTTTTGCATTGCAATGGTTAAAGAGTTAGGAGTAAGTGGGGCTTAGAGGAAAAGTGATTCGAATCTAAGAACATGGGGTGGGACACTTAGACTTGACCCATTTACCTGACAACATTTATATATATATATAATTATACATATACAAAGTTTTATATATACACTTGTATTTATGCTGCTGCTGCTCTGCAAGTCGGCAAAGATGGTTGTGAAGACTAGTACTCCAGGATTGGTTTACAATTCTTTTGCAACCATTGGTGGATGAAACTTATTATTTATTTTTTATTTTTTTATTTTAAGTTGAAGGGTAAGCTATATGTATGAAACTCTTCCATGCAAAAGACTGAATTATTTTTTCTCTCATTTCCTTCTTTGTTTCTCTCACTAATCCCAGTTAACCCAATATTACTGAGTCCAAATGTCTAAAACCCACTCACCAGCCAGTAGATATTGAGTGCGCAGCTATATCAATTTATTGGTATACCCGACTAGTGACAATGCATTATTTTATAAAAAGTTCGTATAAAATTACTAATAACGAGATAATATGTTATATTTGATTGGGTGAGCAAATTTATGATGTGCCGTTACCCAATATCTACTCCTCACTAGGACATAAAAACAATGCCTTTTATGGACGTTTTTAAATATTCAATCGTTTTTAGACTGTATAAGCCTTATATAGGCATTATTGGGCCTAACGGTGTTTTTTTTTTTTTTTTTTTTTCAGCTAGTAAGAAATTATATAGAATTTGCTGTGTTATCATTGATGAAAAATTGGTAGATGTTTACAAGGAATTGAATATTATAGATGCAAAGTGCCAAAATGTCACAAAGAGCTTTGATTTCAAACTCCAAATATTTCCTAAGCATCCATATTGTAAATGAAAGCAATTTGAGATGAAAATATTTACACTCATTTTTGGAAGTAGTAAATCAGGATTTTTTTATTAAGTCAGGAAAACAAACAAAATGAAACTAAATGAATCACAGGTCCAAGAAAGAAAGTAGAGTAAAAAGAGCAACCATCAAAACATTAAAGGAACAAAAGCTCAAGGGGACAGCAGCCATCAATTCCCTGCAACAAAGGAAACACCATGCATCATCAAGTTATGAAGCTCCCAATGATTACAAATCTGGTATGTACTTTGATTGCTATCATTTTTGGTAGCTTGGATATTTTTATTTTTCATGATTATATAAGATGGGATTTATATGTCCTCGTATAGTAAATTCCTAATTGGATTAAAATGACATATGTTATTAAGATATCTGAAATATTTATATTTTATACAATTAGTGAATTCAATGTATTATGTTTTAATTCATTATAAAATTGATAGTGTCTACTTGATTACAAGAGATATTTATATGTGTATGAGATGTTGATCAATACATGTACATAAATAGTAATCATAAATAGTTTATAGTCGGTAATTATGAATGGACTCATTATTAACTAAGACTTGAACTGGATCCGCGTTTGGTTGAGATATATTGTGAGAATTGTCGTATGCAATTGCTCCCTATCATTGTCATGACATTTGATTCTTAAGCATGAGAGAAGGATAAACTCTTTTATTAATTAGTAATTATTTTGATTTATTCAACGGAATCTTCGGAATCCATAGATCGGCACTTTGGGTAATTATGTAATTAAAAGTTAGAGAGTTTTATTTTCAATATTTGCATCATTATTACTTGTATTTATTTTGTTTTGATTATGGTTGATCACAAAGTAAATTCGAAGGCCTTCATATATTTTAGATAAAATGTTTTCTATTTATTTAGTTAGTAAATTATTATTTTTGTCAAACAAATATTTTATGGTGATCAAGCCGGAAAAAATCAAAGGTAACAAAATAATTATATTAATTATGTTGTCGAATTGATGTCTTTATAATCTGATAAATAAGTATGCATAGTGGGGTCAAAGTGCAACATTGACTTAGAGAGGTTATTTACTATTTAATTGGAGTGCAATTAATTTCTTTTAGTGGAGTAGAAATTAATTTATGAATTAATTGAATTGGGTCAATGGTTTAATGGATCAGACTAATTATTAATTTATAGTAGCCAATAAAATAGTAAGCACAAAAGATTCTCACCCATAGCCCAAGTTGATATTGGAGTCCTAGTAGAATTGAGATATGTGAATTAGAAATGGAGAAGGATTTATTGTTTCTTTTCCTTATCTTTATGTTACCTATATATACATAGGTCCATGTACATTTAGGAGAGACTTTTGAAAGACAAAAGAATATATTTTCTCTCTCTATTTTTACGGTTTGCTTTCTCTTTTAAAGAAGGCTACCATAAGCCTTGCCTCCAAGGTCATTCATCAAGGTATATGGGTGATTCCTAAAAGGAAGATCACTATCAAGAAGAAGGAAAAATGATTTTTCTAAGGGATCTATAATAAGTGAGAATGTTCACTTTAGAGGAAAGATTTAAAGGTTTACTCAAACCTTTGATTGAAGTATTCGATCTATTAATTGAATGATACATCATATTTTATTTTATTGTTGCACAAAACTTGTCTCTATGTGATGAATCAAGATCTATGTATGGAAATCCCTTAAAAAGTTTTTAAAACTTGCACGTTCCCTAATAGTGGTATCAGAACATTGTTTGATTCATTACTAGAGATCATGTTTTTATAAAAATCATCATTCATGGATCCAAATTATATATGCATATATATATATATTTATTGATGTATGTTGATGTATGATTTAATATGTTGATATATATTGATATATGATGATGATGTATGAATAATTGTGAATGGATTATGATGTATTTTAGGGCCATGGATGAAACTTATAGGCTTAATGTAATTTTATCTTTAGATGAATGTAATTAAGGCTTTGATTTAGCCATTTAAAAGTTCAATGATATAATTTAATTTTTTTCATTGTATTTTAAATTGTAAAATTTATTTAAAGCCATGTAATCTTCATCAAAAGATGCTATGAAGCTTCAAGAAGGTCCAAGAGAATTTAATTTGGCTTCAGGAATTTTCTGGAATTTTTTAGAATTTTTCTGGAATTTTTCTGTAATTTTTGGGCCAAATAATGAATTCTATAATTTTTTAGTTGCCGGTAAGGGCGCTGCCAGAATGAGGGCTGTTAATCTGGTGCAGCGTGGTCCATATGCGCCCGCACCGGTAGCCCTTGGATCTTCATCAACTGCTGGAAGGTATCAGGTGTAGCGCAGCCCATGGAGCGCTCAAGGCGCACCCAGTCCATAGGCACGTGAGATGTACGCGCCAATGTAGCAGGTGCCAACAGGCGTGTGCCAGCGCGTGGCACGCGCTGGCAACTCCCAAATGCGCATGGGAGCGTGTGGTATGCACTACAAGCTTCCTCCAGCGCGTGTGAGCGCGTGACACGTGTTGGGAACAATCCTAGGAGCGTCAAATGCGCTTAGGGGCGTCCGATGGTGTCCTATGGTGCGTGGGGTTGGGTTACAGCCTCCTGCAGGTGTACACAAGCTTTAGATAGACCCTCGTGCAATAATTAGAGCATTTAAATGTTAAAAGCTAAATCTATTGGCCATTTTATTTGCTTTATCTATCATTTATTTATTTATGTGATGTATGGAATGCATAGAATAAATAATTGTTTATTAATTACTGTTCATGCATTAGATCCATGATATTTACTTAAATGATTTGATTTATATTAATTAAATTATGAAAATTAATTGGATTTAATTACTAATTAATCAGAGGGCACTTAAGGGGAAATGAAAAATCATTTTTGAAAAATTATTATTATTATTATTTTTTAAATTTGGCCTCAAATTAAATATAGTGAATAATTTAAAGTCCAAATATTTTCTAAATTTAATTGGATTAAAATCAAGATATTTTGCATGCATCATATCATTGAAAACCCTAATTATGAATGATTAAAAATTGAGTGGGAGCAAGGATTTTTATACAATACCCCATGGCCTTCGTTATTATAACCATTATAATTAGATCTTTTAAAATAAGGCCCCACGCATGATTTGAAGAGTCTGAAAATTATAAGAATGGTTATCTCATAAAAATAAAAAATATCAAATATTCATTGTAATTAGATCTTTAAAAATAAGGCTCTACGCA